CTCATGCATATGCAAAAGCAATGTGCAATGAGCACATGTCTAGTCACAAAGTACTATAATTACAAGGCTGCTAAGAATACCCACACAGTTATTTGAACTCAGTTTTGTGGTTAGTCCTCCTTTGATCTCCATTATTGCTAAAATATAGTTTTCTTTTTTATTTTCAATTACATGATCTTCAATAAAATAATATTATACGTAAATCTATTTTTTTCCCTTATTTTTTCTTTACACGTTTTCCATTAATATACTATTTCAAAATATATTTTGGGAAAAAAATAAGCTCAAGTGAGGATTTATTAATATGTTAAAAGAGTAGACGAAAATAAATTGAACAACTAACAAATTTTGCTTTATATACTTTTTATTTGATTTTCTAAAATTTCATTATTTTTATACAATCTAATTTACAAAATATACCATTAAGGTTTGAATTTCATGCGGTGTTAGATAGGAGTTTTCTGGTTTATATTTGTTCAATAAAGCTACTCGTACAAAGGACAAGTCACTTACAAAGTGCGTTGGTAAAATTCAAACTATTGATATCAAATGATTTAAAAATTTATTTTTGAAATGATTGGTGTGGATATGATTTTGTCATTTAACTTTGTCAACTCATATTTGTTTGTGTTTCTTGATTAGGACTGTCCACCTGAGATTATTGAAGGTATCTTTGATTCTTTTCTTTAGTAGCAAATAAAAAACCTGTTTCCAAAATTTCAATCTAATGTCATCAGCATGTGCACTCAAATTACTAAGCGTATGCTCCTTTGATTTACATTATTGAAGTGAAGAGTACCGTCTAATCTAATTATCAAACATACCAAAAAAATTCGTGTAAAAGAGATTGTATTTATAAAAGCATTAATGTAAAGATAAATAAAAAGAAATATTGGATTACGGTTAGTTTTATGCCTAATTTTAAATAATTTTTTACATGTCTACAAAGCACACAACAACAGATAGAAATATCTTCAGTGAGTAATGTTATTTAGTCTCAATAAGGTTCAATCATAATTTAGGTGGCACTAACGTGACATTAATTGATAGGTAAAATTAAATAATTCATTTAATTTTACATTTCATTTAGTGTCATTTAAATTGAGGTTACAACCTCAGTAGAGTTACACAGCATTACTCATTTTCAATAGGTTTGGCAGCAAACATATAAAGGAAGGGTAAAAAACCTGAATGGTCCCTAAGCTTTATACTATGTGTGAAAAAGTCTCCAAACTTTAAATTAGTATTTAATAGTTCCTCAACTTTAACATGAGCCCGTTAATCCTAAAAATAAATTCCGTTTAAAATTACTAACACATATTCTACATGGACATCAAATTGACAAAATGACATTCCATTTGACATTGTTTTGACACTTAGTACTCTAACAAAGATAAATTGTGTCATTATTAGATATTTGATCCTAATATGCTAACAAAAATAAATCGAGCCATTTTTATATGGGAAGTACGTTTTTAATGCACTTGTAGTGTGAAGCACTTCAAAAAGTGAAGTGATTTTATTTTTGTTAGTGTATTGTATGTCAAAGTAACGTAAGATGGGATGCTACGTTATCAATCCCTTGTCTAGGTAGGATGTTAGTACTTTGGAAAATAGAATTTGTTTTTTGGATTAACGGATTCATTACTTAAGGGACTACTGAAGAAGGACTATTCAGGTTTTTTACCCCATAAATGAAAGTATAATTTCTGATTTTCATCTACACCTTCGTAATATTGCCCAACTGGGCAGAGGAGAGCCGTGCGGCAGCCCATGTCCAAACCACTTATGTCACGATACCTCAAACATCGAGTGGTAGTAGCGGATTTAGGGGGATTGGGCTGGGCATTAACCCAGTCACCTCTTATCCCATAATTTTATTTTTTATTTTTTTTAAGCTTGACTTAAAATTTATTTTAGTTTGATCTGGAATTCGTCTCTGTCAAGTGCATTAATCCATTGACTTATTTTCTCTCTCTTAAGTCTTGCCCACTCAATGTTTGAGGTTTCATGACTTGAATGGTTTGGAATTTAAAATGTCGTGATTTGAGTGAACAGTTTACCACGTGCGCATTAAAACCAACAACGAAAGTTTTTTTTTTTTCATTTCAATAAATGGGACGGTACTATAAATTATGTGGTGGAGCCATACACTCAAATGACAACACATTGGACTCTCAAACCCCAATGAGAAAAGTAACAAAAAACTTTAAGAGAAGTGCAAAAATCTCAAACCTCA